TCCTGAGCAGGAAGCTGGTGAAACAAATCAAGCTACGGACCAAGCTCTTACCTCCAGTAAGGCTATACAAATCCAAGAAACAAACGACATTTTGCACAGTGGCGAGGGGTCAACCACCGCGCGCTTGCAGCACGAAGGTCTTGCGCGCGACTAGGTTCCAAACCATGCCCTGTGGAGCAGGCAAGTTGGGATGGATGTAGCCGGCCTCTAGGGCTTCTTTCAGGCCTGGGGGGACTCCGTAGGTTGTGCCGGATGTCCGGTTGTTGCGACGACGCTGTTCGGCGGTCGTCCTTGGCAGCCGACCCTCTGCTACCAAGCTTTCCAACCTTGCTGCGACCTCAGGTGGGGTTCCCGGCGCAGTCGTGTCGCCTGCAAAATCTGACCCGAGCAAGTGCCCCAGGCCGTGTGAAGCTGCCTTTTCCCCGAAAAGGTCTTCCAACTGTTGCTCCACACCTGTTGCAATCCCATCTGCCGCGGGTCTTTTTTTGGAGCCGCGGCCTCGCCCCCTGGAACGGCCCCGGCCCGCTGATTCGCTATCCCTGCTAGGGCGCTTAATCCCTTTGGGCCGGCCCCGGGGACGTCCCGTTGGTGTGGTGCGCGGGACTAAGGATGAGAAAACTTCTGGAAGTTTGGCGCCCAAGTTTTTGGTAGAGACATGTATATAATGCTCTGTCACACCACGTTGCCAGAAATCCCGGTGTGACTCCAATAGTTGGCCCTCCTCTTCATACAATGCTGTAAATTTCTCGTAGGTGGCACTGACCCGGCGCGGGTGGAAGCCATCAGCGTCCAAGGCACCAATCTTCTGCAGCGCAGCGTCCACTGTTGCTGAAGATGTCGAACGCTCCAGTTCGAACAAAGCTTCCATTTCCACGGCATTGTAGTCCGACGGGCCATACTTGCAAAACACCTTCGTGGCATTTTCCTGCCCGGTGTTGAACTCCAACATCAAGGTGGCTTCCTGCCCCAACATTCGTTCCAACGTCTTGCTGCTCATACGACCCACTTGTTTGTCATCCTTCCAATCCAAGCGGGGGCTCAACTCGGCTGATGCTTCCCCAACCATCGCGGCGGTCACCAGCGTCGATGGTTCAACAGACAAGGCACTCCACTTCCCGTCATTTTGGAAAACCCGGCCTGTGTGTTCATAACGCTCCATAACCTGCCTCAACGGCAAAGTTTTCTCCTCGGGGACATATTGATCCAGCAACTTCCAAAAGGAGTCCACTGCATTCAAGGAGTAGGAACCACAGCCTGGGTCGAGGATTGCTGCACGCCAGGCGGCCGTCCATACACCTGCATCCTTCTGGAAGTGCTCCGTCTGCAAGTACGCGACGAAATTCGCCTCACCGGCGTTCTCGAGGAGTTGGAAGCAGTGGTGCCAGTACCGATCAAAGACATAGTTATTGCGAATGAAGGCGCTTTTCGATACCCATCTTTTGGTAGAGGTCCACCAAGAGCTCTGCGTCAGCTTTTTCACACCCTGCTCCCGGATGTTGCGTTTGACATGCTCGAGGCTTCGGACCAACTGGAAATCTTGGCCAAAAAAATCCACAAAGGCCTTAACCAAAGCAGGGCCACCATCAATGTGAGCGACTGATGCTTTCCGCAAGCCATCGCCTAGATGCTCACGCACATGTGCATCTAGGCTGTCAAGGAGCAATCGAACCGCCACGTGGTTTTCGCTGGGTGCCAACGCGAAACCAAGCAGCACAAATGTGGTTTCGATGCTCTGACGGGGGACATGCTGCGCCAACCAACCAACAGCAATCAGTTTGATGCGGCTGTTGGAGATGTCGTGGGTACCATCGCACGCCAATCGCAACCCATGCTCCATCAATGTCTCCCAGTGCTCCACCAGGAGGCTGACATAAAAGTCCGTTGTATAGCAAAAAATACCGGCACTTTCGTCCACCTCGAGCACCCGACAATGCCAGGGTTCCGTGGCTCCCCTCTCCTTCACTGACTGCACGTAGCCAAGAACCTCCACGATTTTGTCTTCCACTCGCGCAGACCGCGTGTACTGCTTGCGAGTCTGGATTTGTTGCCGTGCAGGAAGGTTACCGTCAGGATGAGCGATGGACCACTCCACCAAGGCAGCGGCTGCCCGCTGCGGTTGGGAGGCAATGCTTCGGATCTCTCCACGCACATCCTCCCCATGCCTGTGCTCATCTTTCCCCTCCCGCACCAGCTTCCCATCCTCCGAGCCGTATTGCACCACCATTCGGCATTTTTCGCTGCATCGGCAGTAGACGTATGTCCGGCTCGGCCGTTTTACCAAGCAGCGCTTTCTGGACCCCCACTCCGCCTCAATGATGTCCAGCACCTTGCGCCCAGCCAGGGCTTCTTTCTTTCCAAACCATAGATTTCCAAATTTGTCTTTCCTGCAGGGTTTAGGTTTTAAGGTTTAGGGTTTAGGGTTTAGGGTTTAGGCTTTAGGCTTTAGGCTTTAGCGTTAGTCTAGCGTGGCATAACACTTTCAAAGTTCCTAATGCACACGCCGGCCTCTCGTACCTGTCTTCCTCCTCGTCCGCAAGCTCCCACGGGACCATTGCCGGCTTCAACTTCCACATTTTCCATCTGTTGGTTTATTAGCAGACGCGGAGCCGAGAAGGTCTTGAAACCGCGAAGCCGAACAAAGAATCAAGTGAGCAGCGGATTGTTCATGTGAGTAGGGACTCTTGCCCTTGAAGCACAGGCTTGTTCTAAGAGATACAGACACGGGGTGCCTTCTTCCGACTTTAAAACACACCGACACGAAAAAAACCTTGTTTCAACTTTCAAATTCGGTTTAACCTCCTAATGAAACAAAACATCATAACAAAGTTTTCTCTCATTTCGCCTTAGGTGTGTCTACTTTAGATATTAGTGTGTGTCACAACTAAAAGATGTGCGTGCGTGCGTGCGTGCGTGCGTGCGTGCGTGCGTGCGTGCGTGCGTGCGTGCGTGCGTGCGTGCGTGCGTGCGCGCGTGCGTGCGTGCGTGCGTGCGTGCGTGCGTGCAAAAGATAGGTCTCGCGCAAAACTTGACTCCACAAGGCTTGCACGTTGCTGTTTCGGTGTTTCGTTAGTGTGTGTCACAACTAAAAGATAGGTCTCGCGCAAAGTCCCTTTCGATGTGCGCAAAATTTGCGAAAAAAATAGGTGCGGCATGGTGTTTTAAGGCTTCAAGAGGGGGCTTGAAGCCCCAATCATTTCGTCTTCCCCTTGCGTCACCAGGCGCTGGCATGTGCATGCAGGGTGCTCGTCAGCCCCAGGGGCCCCCGCATGCGCCAACTCCTGGGTCCTCCGCAAGGGGAACCCTGGGGTATGAATCGGTTTTCTCTAACGGCGGGGCGGGGCCCGCCGGGCTTTGGAGTTCGCGGTTGCCAAACCGCTCGCCGCAACCCGCAGGTCGCGACTAATTGACATGGGCCCCGATCGCCGGCCCCGAAGGGCCGGCGATCGGGAAACAAAAATTGAGTCCCATGCCTCCTCCTCCGCCGGTTCTCGGGTCGGTCACCCCCTGTCCGCCTATACGCCTCCGCCGTGTATTCTGCTTGTGTGCTTTAGTTTTTGTGCCTTTCAAGTCCATTCTGCTTGTGTGCTTCAAATGAATTCTGCCTGTGTGCTTCAAATTGGTGCCTTTGAAGTCCATTCTGCTTGTCTGCCTTAAATTGGTGCTTTCGAAGCATTCTGCTTGCGTGCTTCGAATTGTGAAAAGCAGAGCTCGCGCAGCAGTCGCTTTTTCACTCAGCACTTGAGCCAAACACCGAAGTGTTCAGCAAGGTTCGGTTCTTGCGACCAGCTCTCTCCAAGAGCTAAGGGCTTCACAACAACTACAAATTCCTTATCAATGTTGTTCTACAAAGGAGGTGTAGCAAAAATATCACGCAAAGACTTTGGTATACACCTCGGGACTTACTAACAGCAAGACAGCGAAGCTCCAGAGTTCACTCTGCACTTCTACTCACATCCTACACGTCGAACACTTGTTGTGTTTTTTTTTGGCTTTGCGTTTGGGGTTTTCTATTCATTGACCTCTCTGCTACAACGGGCTTCCTGTGGGATGCACTGCACCCGACAAGTTCGACATCGGGCTGAAAGCAACTCCACTACCGACAACGGGGTTCCTTGGTGGAACTGAGGAGTGTCTGGACCCTGAAGGTCTCTCATAGGGAGGCTCAGCCCCTCTCCTGCCTCTCTCACGAAGCATTCCGGGTTCACCCTCGCCTATGTGGTAGTACGATGGCCTTCCACGGCCCTCCATACCAAGACAACTCAAGCACACACCAAGTCAGCGTATTGGGCTCACTTTCTTTCTTTGCAACAGAGCTTCCACGCTCCGCTACCACGTTAAAAACCCAAGATGCCAAGCAAGGCACCAAGGAGACAACCACTCACACAAGTCCAAACCAAGCAAGCAAGCTCAGACACTCGGACAACACTTCTGTTTTGGCTTGCAGCACTCACACCAATGCTCGTCACTTGAGCCAAAGTGGAAAACGTATCACAGCTCTCCAACTAGCTCGGCTTAAAAGACCTCCAATCTGCTTGTGCACTTCAAATTGGTGCCTTTCAAGTCCATTCTGCTTGTGTGCTTCAAGTTGGTGCCTTTCAAGTCCATTCTGTTGTGTGCTTCAAATTGGTGCCTTTCAATTCCATCCTGCTTGTGTGCTTCAAATTGGTGCCTTTCAAGTCCATTCTGCTTGTTTGCGAAAATGGTGCCTTTCAAGTCCATTCTGCTTGTATGCTTCAAATTGGTGCCATCCTGCTTGTGTAAGTCCAGTCTGTTGTGTGCTTCAAATTGGTGCCTTTCAAGTCCATTCTGCTTGTGTGCGAAAATTGGGGCCTTTCAAGTCCATTCTGCTTGTGTGCGGAAATTGGTGCCTTTCAAGTCCATTCCGCTTGTGTGCTTCAAATTGGTGCCTTTCAAGTCCATTCTACTTGTGTGCTTCAAACTGGTGCCTTTCAAGCCCATTCTGCTTGTGTGCTTCAAATTGGTGCCTTTCAAGTCCGTCCTGCTTGTGTGCTTCAAATTGGTGCCTTTCAAGTCCATTCTACTTGTGTGCGAAAATTGGTGCATTTCAAGTCCATTCTGATTGTGTGCTTCAAATTGGTGCCCTTCACGTCCATTCTGTTGTGTGCTTCAAATTGGTGCCTTTCAAGTCCATTCTGCTTGTGTGCTTGATTAAGTTCCTTTCAAGTCCATTCTGCTTGTGTGCTTTAATTTTTGTGGCTTTCAAGTCCATTCTGTTCTGCTTCAAATTGGTGCCTTTCAAGTCCATTCTGCTTGTGTGCTTCAAATTAGTGCCTTTCAAGTTCATTCTGCTTGCGTGCTTTAATTTTTGTGGCTTTCAAGTCCATTCTGTTCTGTGCTTCAAATTGGTGCCTTTCAAGTCCATTCTGCTTGTGTGCTTCAAATTAATTCCTTTCAAGTCCATTCTGCTTGTGTGCTTCAAATTGGTGCCTTTCGCAAGTCCATCTGCTTGTGTGCTTCAAATTGGTGCCTTTCAAGTCCATTCTGCTTGTTTGCGAAAATTGGTGCTTTTCAAGTCCATTCTGCTTCTTGTATGCTTCAAATTGGTGCCTTTCAAGTCCATCCTGCTTGTGTGCTTCAAATTCGTTCCTTTCAAGTCCATTCTGCTTGTGTGCTTCAAATTGGTGCCTTTCAAGTCCATTCTGCTTGTGTGCGAAAATTGGTGCCTTTCAAGTCCAGCTTCATTTTCAAATTGGTGCCTTTCAAGTCCATTCTGCTTGTGTGCTTCAAATTGGTGCCTTTCAAGTCCATTCTGCTTGTGTGCTTCAAATTCATGCCTGTCAAGTCCATTCTGCTTGTGTACTTCAAATTGGTGCCTTTCTCAAGTCCATTCTACAAGTGCCTATTGGTGCCTTTCGCAAGTCCACTCTGTTGTGTGCTTCAAATTGGTTCCTTTCAAGTCCATTCTGTTGTGTGCTTCAAATTGGTGCCTTTCAAGTCCATTCCACTTGTGCGAAAATTTATGTCTTTCAAGTCCATTCTGCTTGTGTGCTTGATTAACTTCCTTTCAAGTCCATTCTGCTTGTGTGCTTTAATTTTTTGTGCCTTTGAAGTGAATTCTGTTGTGTGCTTCAAATTGGTGCCTTTCAAGTCCATTCTGCTTGTGTGCTGTAATTTTTGTACCTTTCAAGTCCATTCTGCTTGTGTGCTTCAAGTTGGTGCCTTTCAAGTCCATTCTGTTGTGCTTCAAATTGGTGCCTTTCAATTCCATCCTGCTTGTGTGCTTCAAATTGGTGCCTTTCAAGTCCATTCTGCTTGTATGCTTCAAATTGGTGCCATCCTGCTTGTGTAAGTCCAGTCTGTTGTGTGCTTCAAATTGGTGCCTTTCAAGTCCATTCTGCTTGTGTGCTAAAATTGGTGCCTTTCAAGTCCATTCTGCTTGTATGCTTCAAATTGGTGCCTTTCAAGTCCATTCTGCTTGTGTGAGAAAATTGGTGCCTTTCAAGTCCATTCTGCTTGTATGCTTGACTAAGTTCCAAACAAGTCCATTCTGCTTGTGTGCTTTAATTTTTGTGCTTTCAAGTCCATTCTGTTGTGTGCTTCAAATTGGTGCCTTTCAAGTCCATTCTACAAGTGTGCCTATTACCTTTCGCAAGTCCATTCTGCTTGTGTGTTTCAAATTGGTGCCTTTCAAGTCCATTCTACTTGTCTTCAAATTGGTGCCTTTCAAGTCCATCCTGCTTGTGTGCTTCAAATTAGTGCTTTCAAGTTCATTCTGCTTGTGTGTATCAAATTGAAGCCTTTCGCAAGTCCATCTGCTTGTGTGCTACAAATTGGTGCCTTTCAAGTCCATTTTGCTTTTCTTGAAATTGGTGCCTTTCAAGTCCGTTCTGCTTGTTTGCGAAAATTGGTGCCTTTCGTAAGTCCATCTGCTTGTGTGCTTCAAATTGGTGCCTTTCAAGTCCATTCTGCTTGTGTGCTTCAAATTGGTGCCTTTCAAGTCCATTCTACAAGTATGCCTATTGGTGCCTTTCGCAAGTCCAATCTGTTGTGGGCTTCAAATTGGTGCCTTTCAAGTCCATTCTGCTTGTGTGCTTTAATTTTTGTGCCTTTCAAGTCCATTCTGTTGTGTGCTTCAAGTTGGTGCCCTTCAAGTCCATTCTGCTTGTATGCTTCAAATTGGGCTTCAAATTGATGCCTTTCAAGTCCATTCTGCTTGTGTGTTTGAGTTTTTGTGCCTTGCAAGCCATTCTGTTGTGTGCGAAAATTGGTGCCTTTCAAGTCCGTTCTGCTGTTGTGCTGCAGATTGGTGCCTTTTAGTTCATTCTGTAGTTGTGCTTGAAATGGTGCCTTTCAAGTCCATTGCTTGTGTGCTTCAATTGGTACCTTCTCAAGTCCTCTCTGCTGTTGTGCTTCAAATTTGTGCCTTTCAAATCCATTCTGCTGTTGTGCTTCATATGGATTTCTTCCAAGTCCATTCTACTGTTGTGCTGAAAGAGGGGCCTTTCAAATCCTCTGGGAGGGTTTCGCAGGCCTCAAGATGGATATTTTGGAGGGTCTTTAAGTCCGACCATGGTTTAGAGTTCAGGGGCCACAACTGATACTCATGATGCTT